ACTCACAGCAGCCCAGCTCCAGGTTGAGCTGTTGTTCAGCATCTTAGCTGTAGAGGGCAGTGTCACTAGCCCTCATATGTGGGATCCGAACCGGGGCCCTCTGGTGTCCTAAGCCAGCTCTTAACCAATGCGCCACTCAGCCGGACCTGACTTAGACTTTTTAGATACTATATATTTACTTCCTGTTCTGATAAAGGTTTGGTTCTTACACTACTATAATCCCATCTGCCTAGTATATTTACATCAGTATATTTTGATACTAGTAAACAATGTTGTTCACTGTAGAGATAAGCAGTGATCATATTTTCTTTAGTGTAATAACTTTTTTTAGAATTTCCAGTAATTTTTCTTCTTGCCAAATCTTCAAACCCAGCCCCAAAAACACCATCCCTTTTTCTCCTGAGACCTCTCTCCCAAATGCATTCATCCTCCTCCTTTTTCCTGAGCTGGTTTGCTGGTTGGCTCTCTCAGGATGGGCCCTATGGCTGTGGCTCCCACATTTCCCTTGTCTTCCTGGACTTGGATACACAGTTTATTGAACCTCATGGCTTCCTGTTAGTGGTTTAGTTTCTTCTTTTCCCAGCGTACATGTTCAAGTAACTTACTAAGAAATTGTGAATTGCAAGTAAATTTTCTGAGTCCTTACATGTCTACAGATATCTTTATTTGAACCTCACACTTGATTAATAATTTGGAAAGAGAATTTGAAGTTGAACACAATTATTCCTCAAGGTTTTAGGTCATTGTTCTGTTTTCCTTTGTCACCTAGTGTAGCCGTTGTGCTGTTCTGATTCTTTTCCTTATTAGATGACTTCTCCCTACTGCCAGAAACTTTTTTTTATTCCTGGCATTCTAAAATTTCACTGTGGTTTTTCATTTGTTTGTTTGTTTGTTTGTTTAGTTTTATCTTACTGGGTACTAAGTGAGCTGGACCCTTTCTGTCTGAGATTAGTCTCTTAACTCTGGGAAATTTCTTTGCTAGTTGTTCTTTTTTTTTTCTCTTGTTTCTGTTCTTCTCTTTCTGGAATTCCTCATTGGTGGTAGGATTTTGGACCTGCTGGATTGATTATATTTGTCTCTTTTCTCTCTCATTTTATTGTACTTTCTGAAATATTGAGTTGTCGGAAAAGTCATGACACATTTTTGCAACGAAAAACAGAAAAAAATACATCATGACTTTTCCGACAACCCAATACTTTCAAATCATTTCATTGTATTTTTTATTTTGAGTAGAATTTTTACAGTTCTTCTGGTTCTGATCTTTTATGTATATTTATGTGTACATATATGTGTATATATACATATATATACAGCAAGTTGTTCTTCATGTGTAGGTGTAGCATCTTTATGAAACTCTTTGAAGATACTATTTGTGGGGTTTTTTGTTTTTGTTTTTGTTTTTACATGATCGCTGTTTTCTCCAGATTTGTGTCCAGTTTAGCTTTGGTCTCTTTTTTCATTTTGGAGACCTTGTTCAAATACTTGTGATGCTTGGTTATCCATTTATATTTAAGATTGGGAGACACTGACAAGCTGATTGGGAGGTCTGGGATGGGGTGCTTACCAACTGTTAGGCTTTGCTTTAGGCGATAGGGTAAAAAACTGCTAATGCTAGGGGACTCTCAAATTCAAGAATTTAGACATTCAGCCTAGGGAAAGTCTGGTTGATGGTTCTAAATATAGATTTTAATTTACATATTTTTAGCTCCAAATCTTACTCTTGTCCTTCCCCAGCATCCCTAGTACCTAAGAATCCTGGCCCTCTCTGGGTTTCTGTGGGTGAGCCAGCCGCATTTTGATTGTATCACCTTCTACTATCAGCACTTTAAACTGCAGCTTCTCCTGCCCTAAATGTTACCACTCATGTTTGTCTTTCAGAATTTAAAAACAAAATTCTCATCTGCTAGTGGCCTCCTTTCCTTGTTTTTAGTGGGTTTATGTATTTTTAAATTACTTGTGAGATGACTCTATAAAGTGTCAACTTGCCTAGGCTGTAGTACGTTTCCCCAAGTTTCCTTTCTTACATGTTTCTGATTCGGGTGGGTGACAAGGGAGATTTTTGTACTTAACATGAAACATCCCTAGACAACCAAAAACATTTTAATCCTTTTCCCAGAAAAGGATATAAAACCCCTTTTTTGTCTTTGAAGATATCTTCTTCTTCTAGCTGGTTCATACTCTTTGATACTCTGTAACACATTCTGAGATATAAAGTTAACTATTATTAATGCATCTTATGTTAGTTGATAAGGAGGAAAAATCAACCAAAAAATTTTGTCTAATATATTTGTATATACTTAAGCATGTGACACCAAATTAAGGAAGAAATATTCAAAACTGTCTCAGGCTTATTTCTGCAACTGGTCATGTAATCATAATTGGTATTTATAACTACCATCTCTCACTACCCATTTCATATTCCCTTGTTCTCAGCAAGCACCTCACTGGTCCTGGTTCTTTGCCTGGTGGGTAATCCAATCCTTCATACTTGAAAGGTCTGGGGCTATTCATATTCCTGCCTGAATTGAGTAATTGTAGATTCCCATTGACTGTATTCCCAGAAAGTATAAGCAGTGTCCTAGAGGATCTCATCCATTCCAGACATCCTCCTCCTTACCCTCATCGCGTGGGCGTAACCCAGCTTCCCGTGACAGTCAGGATCAGTCACCCTCAGCCAGTTCAGTAACTTCCTTCTTTGCCTTATGACTCAGAACCCAAAGTGACCAGGTGGAAGTCTCAACTTGAGTTTAATGGAGTTATTGTTGTGTCCCCTGGAAGCATTCCTCGCTTTGAAACTAAGACTTCTCTTAGACCAGCAAAGTACAATATCACAGGGATAGGAAGTAAATATTTTGCTGAAGCTGAATTTATTACTCTTCATTGATTTCCCAAATAAATGAGAGAAAAACCCTTCTATTTCTTATTAAAGGCATGAAAGACATCACTGTCTACTCAGTCACTTAAGCCAGAAACCTTGAAAATTCTTCCCTTTCCATTATTGAGATCTCACCTATTAGAAAATCCTATTTTAGCTTCCTTCACATCTCTCGCTTTTATTCCCTCCTCTGCATCCTTGTGTCAGTCACTGCCTTAGAACAGGCTTCACTTTCATGTACCAAATTGTAGAAACAATCTACAATGAGCTTTCCCCAGCTATTCATTTGCTGCTTTTCTGCTAAAGCAATCTTTTCAAAATTGGACCATATTAGTGGCTCTAAGTGCTTATAAGGTAATTCCCAGCTGAATTAATTCATCTGTTGCAACAGAAATCTAAAGTCACATGGCTTTAACAAGTTAGAAGTTTATTCTCTCTCAGGACTTATGTGATGGCTCTGCAGTGTCATGAATCCAGATCTCTTCTGATTTGTTAATTCACAATCCCTTCATGTGCTGCCTCGTCTACATGGTCCAAGATAACTTCACCACCTTGTCAGAGCCAGCATGAAAAAGGATATGGTGAAGAGGTGGATGTGTCCTTCCTTTTAAGGATACAACCCAGAAGGATGTGTAAATCATTTTCACTCTCAGCCCACTGGCCAGAACTTGACTACAAGTTCTAGCTGCAAACGAATTTAGCCTGGCTAGCCTTGCGTCCAGCTAAAGCAGAGAGGCTCAGTTACTGTAGAAAAAGGGAATGGATATTGGAAGAGCACCAGTAGTGTCTGCCACACAAGGCACATGAGACCTTCTGGACATTGACCCTTGCCTTCCTCTAACTTATCTCTTAGTGTGTTGCTTTCCCACTCGTTGTCCTTCCCCAGTTCTCCCCAGCTCTGTCTCCTCTTTGTTTCAGCCATGCCTAACTGTTTGCGCTTCTAAACATGCTGTGCTGGTGTGTGTTTCTCTGCCTTTCCTCATAATGCTTCCTTAGCCTGAGATGCCCTTTCTACCCACTCCCCTCATCTCCAACACACTGTTAGCCTGATCTGAGAGAATTTGTCTTTCAAAATTAATTTAAGCATCTTCTAATGTAGAAAGCCTTTATTGAATAGCACCTCCTCACCCTAGTAGAATTGATCATTCTTTCCTCTGCTGCCCTTATTATAGGCAGGCAGACTTTAGCCATTACACTTTGTGGCACATTTTACACTTAAATTATCTTTCTCCTCGATTGTATACCCTTTGGGGACACAGATGACATTTTATTCCTATATCCCTTAGATGTAGTGTAGTACCTAACAGACAGGGGATGTGCACCAAACATTTATTGACTGAGTGAGTGGGTCCATAACAAAAACATCCCTGTCCAGACTTTCAAATGTCAGTGCACGCTCTTAAGATATGGCTGGCTGCTGGTGTTTTTTAACTTTTGTCAATTAGCTAAGATGATAATGCTACCTCCAACAATTATTTTTATAATCATCCTGTATTACCTTGTTAATTGATTAGTTTTTAGTTATATTTTAATTCTAAAAGTACTCTCAGAGTTAGCTATGGAATTTATTTTTTTTCCATTAAAATGAATGGACTTTTCCATTTACTAAGGCACAATATTTATAATTGTTTTTTTGTTGTGTTTTTTTTTAACAATTCAGTATATCAGTGACTTGCTGCAGGAGATGTGTCAAAAGTGAATTAGATAAAACTGACATGGTTTCCAAAGCCTGTCCTAAGCCCCTCATAGTACTGCCACCTTAACATACTGGTTCTAAGATACAGATACCTCAGGATTTGTTTAATGACCGAAAGAGTCATTGTTGTAAACAGATTCTAAGGCAAAATTGCCTTAAATATTCTTACATGGAGAATTTTTTTTCTGCTTTACTGTCTTGAGTAATATCTTTTGTTTTACTTGTAGATTTGATGGTCCTCGAAGATTTGAGGATTTAGGTTCAAGGTGTGAAGGACCGAGACCCAAAGGGCCTCGTTTTGAAGGAAATCGCCCCGATGGGCCAAGACCCAGATATGAAGGTCACCCAGCAGAGGGCACTAAAAGCAAATGGGGAATGATTCCCCGGGGGCCAGCATCTCAGTTTTATATTACCCCCAATACATCCCTAAGTCCTCGACAGAGTGGACCACAGTGGAAAGGCCCCAAACCAGCTTTGGGACAGCAACATCAGCAGCAACCTAAGTCACAAGCAGAACCTCTTTCAGGAAACAAAGAACCATTAGCAGACACCAATAGTAACCAGCAGAAGAATTTTAAAATGCAATCAGCTGCATTATCCATTGGTGCAGATATAAAGGAAGCCAAGGCGGCTCAGTCAAATGAGAATCTAAGCGACTCTCAGCAAGAGCCACCTAAGAGCGAAGTCTCGGAAGGGCCCATAGAGCCTTCTCATTGGGACCAGAATTCTCAAAGTGTGGAGACTCAAATGGACAAAGCCCAAGCTGTTACTCAGCCTGTATCCCTTGCAAATAAACCTGTACCTACTCAGACTACTTTTCCATCAAAAGTGGGGGGGATAGAGGGAGGAGCAATAGTAGCAACATCATCATCATTAACTGCAGATAATGATTTTAAACCTTTAGGTATTGGTCTGCTCCATTCAGGAAACAACCAAGATAAAGGGCTGCCTCGGCCAGAGAATAGAGATAATAGGTTAGAAGGCAATCGAGGCAGCAGCTCATCTTATAGAGGTCCTGGGCAAAGCAGAATAGAAGACACACGGGATAAAGGATTAGTGAATAGAAGTCAAGGCCAGGCAATGAGCCGTGGCCCAGGGTTGGTCAAGCAAGAAGACTTTCGTGATAAGATGATGGGTAGAAGAGAAGACAGTCGAGAAAAGATGAGCAGAGGAGAAGGTAGTCGGGACCGAGGGTTGGTGAGGTCAGGAAGCAGTCGGGAGAAAGTGCCAGGTGGTCTTCAGGGCAGCCAAGACAGGGGTAGAACTGGCAGCCGAGAAAGGGGACCACCTCGGAGGGCTGGGAGTAGGGAGAGGGTACCACCCCGAAGAGCTGGGAGCAGAGAGAGGGGACCACCTCGAGGGCCTGGCAGTCGGGAAAGGGGACTGGGAAGACCAGATTTTGGTCGTGACAGAGGTTCATTTAGACCAGAACCAGGAGATGGTGGGGAAAAGATGTATCCATATCACCGAGAAGAGCCTCCTAGGGCTCCATGGAACCATGGAGAAGAGAGAGGGCATGAAAAGTTCCCATTAGATGGTAGAAATGCCCCAATGGAACGAGAAAGACTTGATGATTGGGATAGAGAGAGATACTGGAGAGAATGTGATCATGACTATCAAGACGATACACTAGATCCATATAACAGAGAGGACAGGTTCTCAGCACCACCATCTCGATCTCATGATGGAGATAGACGAGGCCCTTGGTGGGATGATTGGGAGAGAGATCAGGATATGGATGAGGACTACAATAGGGAAATGGACAGGGACTTGGACAGGGATGTGGAGCGGATTGGAAGACCCATGGATATGTATGATAGAAATTTGGATAATGAGTGGGACAGAGATTATGGGAGACCACTGGATGAACAAGAATCACAGTTCCGTGAACGGGATATTCCATCTCTTCCACCTTTACCACCCCTCCCACCTCTTCCACCTTTGGATAGATATCGGGATGATAGATGGAGAGAAGAAAGAAATCGAGACCATGGGTTTGATCGAGATTTCCGTGATAGGGGTGAGTTGAGGATCCGAGAGTATCCAGAAAGAGGAGATACATGGCGGGAAAAGCGAGATTATATTCCTGACAGAATGGACTGGGAAAGAGAACGGTTGTCAGACAGATGGTACCCATCTGATGTGGATAGACATTCCCCCATTGCGGAACATATGCCCTCCTCACATCATTCTTCTGAAATGATGGGGTCGGATGCAAATTTAGACTCTGACCAAGGCCTTGGAGGGGTAATGGTTCTCAGTCAAAGGCAGCACGAAATCATTTTGAAAGCTGCACAAGAACTGAAAATGCTTCGGTAAGTTGACTACTTAAGATCATTTCTTTTAGTCAAAACCACTTTCAGACTGCTCTTTTTAAAGTGATGTGATATATTTGAATGGAATAATTTTACTTCAAGTTCTTATCACATAATTTTAATTTGTATTTCTGATCATTCAGTGCTGTTTTAGGGTGAGGATGGGTATTTAGGAACTGTGTTAATGATTAACTTATGTCCAGAAATGTGAAAATTTGATAGCCACTCTTGACTTTTATAGATGTGTTGCCGCCATGCCATGCCTGTGCATGTTTCAAGTGTCAAACTTCAGCTCTCAAATTCAGTGCTCTGGATTTCAAATCTCATGTGTAACATCCTTTTTTTCCCCAGGAGGCAGTTTGTTCTTTGGTGTTAGATAGACTTCACATTGACTAATCTTTGATATAACTTTAGAAAGTGCCGTAAGGACTTATATTTTTCTCTGTTGAAGCTAAGAATGATTTACCTGGAAGCATCTTCAGATTTGTCTAACCATTGATACGTTCTTTTGGAGATGTTTTATCTTTCATTTTAACTAGAAGCATATATCTACTTGAAGATGTTACTTGTTTCTGCAAAATCAAGCATTTTCTTTGTGAGATGGAGAATAGAATTTGGATTTCTTGATTTACAATCAACTTACTATGTATAGGTGTCTACATAATGCTTCCCGTGTAGTAGCAATAACAACAAAAGCTAGCATTTATTGCATGCTTACTATAATAAGTGCCAGGAACTGTACTAAGTGCTTTGTATATATGAATTTGTTTTATCCTTAAACCAATTATATCCTGAGATAAGAATTTAAGAGTTGTTGGCAGATTGCAAGCTTTTTGAGCAATTTCTTAGGAATTAGCAATGTTTTGAGAAAGTAATGAATGGTTACGTTTTGATATATTCCAATGTATTGTGTTTCTTTCATTATTCAAATTCTGGTCTATATTTGTGGATTATACCAATTGAAATTATAATGAAAGCTTTACTGTTGGAAAGGTATGATGCGGAAAAATACCTGTAGGAAAAGGTGAAAGATCCCTCAGGCAGCAAAACAGATTTTTGTGGTCTATAGAAGATATGCTCTATGAAGTTTGCCTTTTTCAGATGACTAAAGAAGGTGTGGAAAACAGGCCCTAGGACATTTAGTTATGATACAATTCACATTT